TTTTGAAACAGGAAGAACGGAGTTGGATAAAGATTGAATGTGCCAGAGGCCGTACAGCACAACAGTGTCATCAAGGTCTTCAAGAGGCTTGCAGGGAATCTGCATTGCCTTACAGAACAGTGGCAAGGTGGTTAAAAGCCTTCAATGAAGGACGCCAAAATGTGGCAGACGTGTGTCGGCCAGGTCGTCCTATTGTCAGTGAAGGAGAAGTGTATGCTCTTTCCGCATTACTGGAGTGATCGACACCATGCGATTCGTCAGCTGGCCCGAGAGACAAGATTAGTGCATACAACTGTACTTCACATTCTGAAGGATTGTCTGGGCATGACAAAAATTGTATCATAATGGGTTCCACATGATTTGATGGAAATGCAGAAATGGCTACGATACAATGCTACTCGTAACCACTTGGAGTGCTATGAGCGCGAAGGAGAGGCTTACTTTCTTATGCCGTGTCATTACGCTGGATGAGACATGGGCCAAATCGTACGAACCACAAATGAAATGCCAATCGAATGAATGGCGTCATTACGGGTCACCACAAAAATCAAAAGTTCGTCAGAACCCCAGCAATGTGAAAATTATGGTGATTCTCATGTTCGACTCTGATGGTGTTATCCTAATGCATACTGTTCCCCCGACAGCAGACCGTCAGTGTGCAGTATTACTGTTAATTTTTGTAACACAACCTGCAACCAGCTTTGAGAAAGAAGCGGCAACACTTTCTGCAGAACCCACCCATCATTTTGCAGGACAGTGCTTGGCCACATGCAGTGCAAGCTGTTGCTGATTTGTTCGATCGATGGGGCTGGTAAGTGCTGTACCATCCACCATACTCTACTCCCTGGACTCAAGCCCTTGTGACTTTGACTTGTTTCCTAAGATGAAGGAACCACTTCGTAGAATTCGCTTCAGAACTGTTCCAGAGATTGTTCAGGCAGTAGACCACTCCATTCGATTTAACAACACAACAGGCGCTGCTGAAGGTATCCTACAACTTCCACATCACTGGCAACAGGCTGTACACAATGCTGGTGACGACATTGAAAGACAGTAAAACTTTGAAACATACACTGTTTTGTATCAGTTGTAAATAAACAGTTGCCACTATTAAAATTCCAACCCTTGTATGTAAATCCCAGAGATGAGCTGCTGGTTGCAGAAATATAATGTTTATGAGGTAATTTTTTTGGGGTTTGGGGTAATTTTTCAGAATTTTTGTGCTTTTAAGGGTATTTTTTGTCATTTTAGCCATTTTAGGGAATTTTTCTTCATCTGTTTTTAGAAATGTGAGTAATATGCAAGTAAAGTGTTCTTTTTCTTTCTCCTGCCTCTACAAAGGCAGCCTGCAGCTGCACCCCAAGTACCTGCTACCACAGTATGCAATAATAAGTTGTAATCCTGTCCCTTCCTTTCCGTTCGTTTTTTTGGAAAGTGCTGATATTACATACCATAAAACAGTTTAAGCTGGCAGCAGGGTACAACAGCGGTCACTCACACCATGACTTTTTCCAATTTCTGTGCAAAGGAATTTGCTTAGTTATAAATATTTCTAGTCGGAATCCTTTGCATTTTTTGACATATTGTTGCTCAATAAAACTCCATCTGTCTTCAGTTTCTTGCCCTTGACCATACAGACAAAGATACAGTTGATGAAAAGTTCTCAGTGTGAAAAGTTCAGTTCTGTGTTGGACTAGAGTGCAACACAGTGCCTAAAGCAAACCCATCTAAATCTTGTCAATTAAAGCAGATTGTAGCTGAATTTGAAGATGATATATTTTCAGCTGACAGTAACATTTTATACTGTAAGATGTGTGACACAAAATTAGCAGCAGAAAAATGTATCACGGTACAACATATTGGCCGCAGCAAGCATGTATGAGCAGTGCAAAATTCGAACAAAAAGAAATCTGTGCAAATGTTACTGCAACAGTGTTCATCTGAAGATGGAAATAAGTCCATGATTTATTTAATCCGTCTTGCAGTGCATACACTCATTTTTCTCCTTCTCTCCCTCGCACTACATGTTTCGGCATAATAATGCCATCTTCAGGTGCTTACTTATCCACGTCAAACCAGTTCATTGCATGCCATGTTCACACATTAAAATAACTAAAATATGTATCTATCATATACATTGTCCAACGTTAAAAATATTAAAATTGTTCAGGATACCACATCGCTACGTCGCCCCTCACTACGTCAGTCACGCCCATTCTCCTTTGTTGGAGCACTCCTTCACTATCTTGTGTGTCTGTAACGTGAATTTTTTATTCATTAATATCGCGTTCCATATTTTATTTAATACTTGTGGTATTATAGTTTTTTAATAATACTTACAGTATAACACACGCAGTCGCAGGAGCACGACACAACAAAACCACAACACACAAGATAGTGAAGGAGTGCTCCAACAAAGGAGAATGGGCGTGACTGACGTAGTGAGGGGCGACGTAGCGATGTGGTATCCTGAACAATTTTAATATTTTTAACGTTGGACAATGTATATGATGGATACATATTTTGGTTATTTTAATGTGTGAACATGGCATGCAATGAACTGGTTTGACGTGGATAAGTAAGCACCTGAAGATGGCATTATTATGCCGAAACATGTAGTGCGAGGGAGAGAAGGAGAAAAATGAGTATATGCACTGCAAGACGGATTAAATAAATCATGGACTTAAATCAGTGCAACAGGACGCTAAAATATAACATTATGGAAATAAGTCGTCAGATTTTTTCACAAATCTGTGTGATGCTCAGGTGTCTGCAAATATTACGTTTTGGGTTTTGAAAAATGAAAAACTGAAAAAAATTGGAAGTGTATTGTAGTCCTATCCTGGATGAATCCACCCTCAGGAAAAACTACCTTGCAAGTGCTATAACAATATCCTGGAAATGATTAGGAATAAAGTGCATGGGAAGAAGATTTTCGTTTCTATCGACGAGACCTGCAATACGGAGGCTCGCTACGTGGCAAACGTCATCATTGGAACCTTGGAAATTGATGGACCAGGTGAAGTGTTTCTGCTTACGAGTGAGGTGCTAGAATCTGTTAATCATTCCACAATTTGTAAACTCTTTGACAGGTCGATGTTTCTACTGTGGCCAGAGGGTATACAACACGACTTCGTCTTGCTTTTTGTGACCATTGTGGCCCCATATATTTTAAAAGCAGGAAAAGTCAATAAAGTCGTTTTATATGAAATTGGTGCACATTACTTGCCTAGCACATGCACTGCATAGAGTGACAGAGGAAGTGAGATAAAGATTTCCTCAAGTGGATGCTCTGGTGTCATGGACAAAGACGATTTTCGTCAAGCCTCTAGCTCGTAAAATTCAGTTTAAGTCTATGGCTCTTGGTGTTCCACTGCCCCCAGAACCCATCATGACAAGAATGTGGATTGATGCTACAATTTATTATTGCGATCATTTTCAGGTAATGAGAAACATTGTAGATTCAATGAAGAAGGAGGATGTGAGGGCAATTGAAGCTGCTCAGGAACAGTTCTCGTACAGCAAAATGGAAGGCAGCTGGCCTTCATAAAGGCAAATTTCAGTTCCTTGATGGAAGGAATCAAATGCTTACAGGAGAAAGGAGTAGTGGTAGAAGATTTGCTTGCTCTTGTGAAAAAAGTAGCCAGTGATTTGGAGAAAGTGTCAGGGGACATTGGTAAAATGGTGTCAAGAAAAATGTAACATGTTCTAGATAAAAACTCAGGTTATGAAACACTTTGCAGCATTTCTCAAACTCTGACAGGAGAGTCCTTCAGCATTTTCAATACTGAAGAGGAACTTACTGCTAGTGATTTGGTACACTTCAAGTACTCTCCCATTGTGTCTGCAGATGTGGAAAGGAGCTCCTCCAAGTACAAGAATTTGCTGTCAGACAATAGGTATTCACTCACCTTCGAGAATCTCCGCATGTTGACTATCATATATTGCAACTCTGAATGAGATGGCACTTAAATATTGGAATATATACTGTATATGTACATTTGATAAGAGTTCCAATGCGGTAGATAAAATCATATTAAAACATTTAGCTTCAAATTCAATCATATATTGATTGCTTAATTTTCAACATAAAAAGGAGGACATACTTGAAAGAGTACTGTTGAGTTCACAGTGTTAATAAGGATTAAAAATACATTTTAAAACAATTAGTAGATTTTCCATGACATGATGCATTTTTAGGTCGTTTTTTAGCTTTCAGGTAATTTTTCGGTCATTTTTATAGGTCACTTTTCTTGATTTTCGGTCATTTTTAAAATATTTTAGGTAATCAAAATCTGGGCCCTGGTTATAACAGTTTGTGGAGAGCACTCATGAAGAATTAGAACAAAGGCTTAGATTTTATATTGTGTGCAATAATCCATGATGCACTGTGCTGAGGTCTCTGTGGAGATGGATGATCAGCATGTTGAACACTGCCAGCTCTGGTATATTAGAAATAACTTAAGATATGCTAGGCATACTGGTGTCCTTGAATGTTCTGAAGTTGAGATGGGTCATAGCTTTGAAAGAAGACCATCTTGGACACATGTTCATATAGACTGTTTCCATTGTTTCAGTATGTTCAACCATATCCTAAAGTATAGTTAAATGCTTTTCATTCACTGTATATAAATGTTACCATGGGTAGTTTCACGTTTATTTTAAAGCTTATATTATTTCAGCATCTAAATACATATTTGGTTATATGTTGTTGCATATTAACCTGAGAATAAAATATTGTAAATGAAAATTATAGGGACCCATAACATACATGTACTGTGCATTATACAATATGTAGGGCCTACATAAATCTTACCAGTCTTCAGAAACTCACTAATATAACATTACCTATTCATTGTGCACTGTCAAGAGTGGTGTCCAACTTCCATCACCATCATATAGTTTGAGCATCATTATGTATCATGAAATGTCAACCAAAGGATACATTTGCTTGTTCCTGTTTCATTTTAATTTGTTCCTACTTTCCTTTATGTATGCAGCTGTATATTCAAGAAAGTGTCACTCTTAGTAAGATGTCTATGAAACTGGCTACATCATCACAATCACACATTCCACAAATTACATGGACTCCTGTATCAGCAACAGGTATTGTATATATTTCATGTGTCAAACAAGTTCTGCTCTTTCTTTTGTTATTCTGAGTTCTAATTTTGCAGTTTTTTTTTCTTTTTATGCAGGAAAACAGGAGTGGGATAATTGCATGGTTGTCACCTTATAATACAAAATTGGTAATGTGATAACGAAGTCTAACAATAGTCATTTTAAAATATTGTAATGGATTTGATCAGTGCATTGCCAACAAATGGCTCGGTAAACACACTTCTATGCAGGTGCAGTGACGTCACCGTAATGGTAGCCATGACGTGTGTGTTTTCTGTGAGGTGTGTCTATGCTGCATCTACATAAGTGAGCAGAACTGTTAAGCTAAAGCAGTACACTGGAGGAGTACAGAAGAATACAAGAAGTCAGCCTGTTAAGATTTACATGTGATTTGAAGACTTTATGTGTGCTGTAGTACAGTGATATTGGGAGTGTGTGATTTAGTGAGACAATGAATGAATGTATAACGGATGGGCCTTCTTGGCCCTTGCACTGCGGCCACAGTTATCTGTTGTGTCTCCCCTTCTGATTATCCCCTCAACAATCCTGTGCTTTGAATGAAGCGTAGGATTTTGTACGTGGGGACGTTGAAATAGTCACGTGGTTCCATAAAATATTGACCCAAGTGATGCAATCTTAAATAAGCTAAGGCCTCACATTCACACAGGATATGTATGGCTGTTTCATTTTCTTCTTGACACCTCTCACGAGTTGGACTATTACTTGGTCCCAGTTTGAAGAGGTGTCCTTTGAGGTTACAGTGTCCTGTAAGTAGTTCTACCACCCATCGTAGCTGGTTCCTGTTTAACTTCAACAGTTCCTTCGCTCTTTTAGTAGAGGGTCCTCGTATGAGACCCTTTGATTGCCTGAGTCCAGTCAAGGATCCCCAGTATTTCTTGTGCTTCATATTTGTCCAGTCCCTGATTGCCTTTCTGGCAACTCCTACAGAGATGCCACAGGCTGGTTCAGGTCCTATGAACGGATGTTCAGCTCCAATCTTAGCTAATTGGTCTGTTGTTTCATTTCCAGCAATACCCTCGTGCCCCAGCACCCATATCAGTTGTACCCTGTTATGTTTGGCCAGTTCCATGAGAGTTTGGTGGCAATCCCAGACCAATTTTGAGCTGATCTGGTGTTTGTCAAGTGCTTTAAGTGCAGCTTGGCTGTCAGACTGTAGATGTTCCTATCTAAATTCTCCATAATACATGCCATAATGGCATATACTTCTGGCTGGAATACTGTCATGTATGGCCCAAGGCTGAAACTAAGTTTCCGCCTCGTACCATAGCATTACACACCAGCTCCAGTGCCCTTATTTTTCTTGGAACCATCTGTATACCAGATCAGTCACCCTTTTCTATCGGGCCGAAACCCGTCTTCTCATTCACTCCTGTCAGGAAATCTGACTGAAGGTTTTTTCATATACATGTCTCAGTATCATTTTGTCAGACCCCATTTGTAATATGGGTTCTTTTTTCACGTCCTCAGTTATGTATGCATGGCCAAAACCTTCGGATCTGGGTTTCCATTGTTCACTGCACTGGAGACGGTAGATTCCTGCCCTGGCCTCTGCCTCCAACTGTAGATTCAGTGGCAGGAGTCCACGGAGTATCTCCAGTGCAGCTGTTGGAGATGTTCGAATTGCTCCTGTGATAACCAAGCAAGCCAAACCTTTGCAATTTCCTAAGTTCTGCCTTGCTTGTCTTGAGTTTAACTCTGGGTCACCATACTGTGGCGCCATATGTAATTATGGGTCTTACAACCGCAATATATATCCAGTGCACAACATGCGGCTGCAGTCCCCAGGTTTTACCAAACATGCTCCTGCATGTCCAAAAAGCCTTATAGGCTTTATTGATGACCTTGTCCAGCTGCTTTTTCCATGTCAGTCCCTTTTCTAATACTAGACCAAGGAGAGCTGGACCGTCTTATTGAAGAGAGTTGGTTCCTTAAGGCCCTTTATATTTCTCTTCCTAGTAAACGGTGTAATTACCGTCTTATTGGGATTGATGGAAAGACTTGTTCTTTCACGCCATCGTTGGTCCATGTATAGAGCTGTTCGAAGACGATCTGATACTGTCGAAAGGAATTTTCCGTTTATGAGGATTGCTATGTCATCAGCATATCCTACTGTATAATACACATCATCATTAACCATTAAGGGACGGGCCATTTAAATTCCGGTAGTGGCAGTGGAATGGAGTTAATTTAAATGCCCGCCATTGTAGAGTAATAAAAATTCTAATCATGTTACTCAAAATGCTGTGATTTATACAATTTTTGTGATAAATGAACGAAATAAACGCTACTTTTATCTAGAAAGTATATAGAATCAGATACTGTAATTTACAGATTTTAGAATCTATAAAAATTGTTACAGTGATTCCAAAAAAAATTTCCCCAATTTTGAGCGACTGTCCACAAAAATGCATAAAGCTTATGCACAATACGTTTCTGCAGTATAAATGCATGGTGCTGACACACTGGCAATAGGAGAGGATGTTTACGTACTGCACATTCTCCAGTCACGTAGGCTTCCTGTATACCCAAGTGTGGGCGAGTTCTTATCCTACATTGACCTTATGAAACTCTGTTTATTCACGTATGTCGGACTATCCACACAGAGGCAGTTCTTGGAATATCACCTCATTCCACTTGCTTCCACGTCCCTTCAGAATAAACTGTAACGCATTCTGAATGGCGTGATTTACGAGCGGCCTCTCAATTTCGACTTCTTCAATGCAAAAGGGACCATGGTGCATAGTTGAAATTGCGATGTTTTATAAGCGTTATGAATAGAGGAGACCACTCGCCATCACTGGCCTACTTCCTGCTAATACAAGACTAACATTGCGTGTGTGTGCTTCGCATGGAAAACAGAGTTAATTACGGACAAAGTGCATGAATTGCGACGTCGGACTCTGCATTCGGTGACATGCAACATTCAGTTATGTGATGCAGGAGGGAAGACAGTCTACTTATAAAGCTGGTGTCCAAAAATAATGTAAGTAGAACAAGAATTTCTATCTTAAAATTAGATTTTAAAATACTGTGCGCACGCGCGGCCTGCGAGTCACCATACGGTGTCCTTCGGCCATCTCGGCTTTAATTTAAAGGTCCCCATATGGTGTCTTTCGGCTCATAAAGGTTAAGTCCCCACAGGAGATTGTCAAAGACCAGGCTCCACAGCAGAGGCGAGAGCACACCCCCTTGCGGACACCCCGTAGACGTGGACGCCCCCAGGGTCTCTCCTGATAGTGTGGCGGCTATGGTTCTGCTTTCCAGCATAGCACTGATCCACCTGCATATTGCAGGCTCTATGCCATGCTTTCCAGCAGCCTGTTTGATTATATCAGATGAGGTTCTATCGAAAGCTCCCTCCATGTCAAGGAATGCTCCTAAGGCAATATCCTTGTGTTCAGTTGCACTTTCTATGCGTGTTACCACATTATGTAGTGTGCTTTAGGTAGATTTACATGTTTGGTAGGCATGCTGGTTTTGGTGTAGAGGATATGTCCTTAACGCCCCATCCCTGACATGCGTATGCACTTTTTTCTCCATCGTTTTCAAAAGGAAAGACGACAGGCTGATAGGACGATATGCCTTAGCCTCGGTGTAATCTAGTTTCCCGGGCTTTGGGATAAATGTCACCTTAACTTGCCTCCAGGCCATGGGGATAAAACCATATGCCATGCAAGCTCTATATATGCAGCATAGGTTTGGAACTAAGAGTTCTGCCCCTTGCTGCAAAAGTGCCGGTACAATTCCATCTGTTCCCGCTGACTTAAATGGTCTAAATGTATTCAGTGCCCATCCAATTTTTGATTGGTTAATTATGATTTTGGACAGGTTCCATTCTACCCTGTTCATCTTGCTTTGGCACGTGCCCAGGTTCCGCTGACCCTGTCCATCCAAATTACCAATCAATTTTTAATCAGGAAAGTGAACTCTGAATAATTCATTCAGCGTCTCCCTTCCTGTTTGAGTATACTGCCCATTAGGCAGCTTAATCATGCTGACCTTGTTGGTCGCCTGTTTTGCCATGATCCTCATCAGTCTGGTACCACCTGGTACATCATTGATCTCCTGGCAATGCCTCCTCCATGAGGATTGCTTGGCTTTCCTTATTTCTTTGTTGTAACAGGTAAGGGCTTCCTTGTAGGTGTCCCACTGCCCTGTTCTTTTAGCTGTATTGAACAGCCTCCTTGTTTTGTTTTTCAGCCCACTCAGCTGGTTATTCCACCAAGGCACTCTCCTTGGTTCACGAGTGGTCCTGGCCAGACAATTCCTATTAAAGGACAAGATAATAGCCCATTGCAGCTGGTTAACGGACCTATCAACATCATTTATTGTGCATATATTTCGCAAGATGGTCTGTAGGTTTACCTTTAGGTCATCTTTGTAAGACTCACAATTGGTTCTCTTAGGATTCCTATAAGTAGCTTGATCTACTGTAATGTTGCTTATTTGAAAGCATATATATCTGTGATCTGATAGGGACGGCTCATCAGATACATGCCAATTGCTTATCAGGTTTCCTATTTTATTGGTCCCTAGTGTGAAGTCAGTAACCTCTTGCCTATTGCAAACCACAAATGTAAGCTCGTTACCTTGGTTTAGAATATTAAGGTTCAAACTCGCCAAATATTCCACAAGGCATTCTCCTCTTGGGTTGATGTCAGTGCTTCCCCACAATGTGTGCGTTGGCATCACACCCAATGATGAGCTGCTTTTTCCTAAGATTGCAATATTCAATGATGTCCCTCACTTCTTTGGAAGGCGGTGGTTCATCCGAGTCATATGGAAGGTAGGCTGAAGTGACGATGAGCTCCTCACAGCCTCCACCAAATGCGTATGTAATCCTCATTATTGTTGTTGTGTGTCTGGAACAGAACTCAAGCAAGGATAAAGCATTAATATGATTATTAACATATATGCATGATCTCACATTTTCTCCAGGTACCACAGAGTAGACTGTTCCCCTGAATTCGTTAAGCCTCTTATTTGGCCCCTATATATCCAAGGTTCCTGAATAAGTGCTACGTCGACTTTTCCTTCAGCAAGTTGTCGACATAAAATTGCCATAGCAGCCTTGCTGTGGTGTAGATTAATTCAGATGAATCATACTTTATATGAAAATGTCGTTTGTATGTATGTATGTAGTGTGTTCGTGCTGTAATGCTGGGAAAGGTGTCCTCCTAAATACCTTCTTCCACAGCCCCTTTTCCTTTATCAGACCTGGTTTCCTCCTAGAGAGGTCCTTGATCTGGTAAGGTCGGGTTGACGAGAGGAGGGATTGTCTCCTTCTCATCAGATATTCTCTTCCGGTCGACTGAGGGAGTAGGTACATCATCCCCCTCCCCCTCAGAGACCGAGTTGGATGATACTATATCTGACATAGGTTCTGCCCGGCACTGACCCTCAGGATCATTCAGCACCTTAACAGTCCCCTTGAGAGTCCTGTGAATATTTTGTAACCAGTCCTCTGTATAGTAGTATAAGAGTTCCAGTCTATGAATAAGATAAGCCTCTGGCCTTTTGACTCAGATTGCTTATCAAGTACCCTCCAGTTCTCCGTATGAAGTCCTGGATTGAGGTCTGCAATCCATTTCAGCAGCTCTTCCTAATTCTGGGCAACTTTGTCCCTAATTCAGAGAGCCACTTTAACAGGCTTGGGCAGGTTCCTGGCATCAGTAGCTTGCAGCCTGGCCCCTGATTCCAGCCTGTGGTTGTCGATGGCTTTGGTGAGCCATTGACCAGATTGTTGGCCGGTGCATGCACAAATAAGTGCACCTCCCATGAGTCTTGAGGATTTAAAAGGTTGCCACCCGCAGCATCCCATACGAGTGGAAGGCATAAATACACATACAGTGGGATGCTGCCTGGTGCCCTGAGGGGATTGTTCAAGACACTGACTAATTACCACCGCAATGCCATGCAGCCCTCAGCACAGTGCCTCACACCTTGGCTTAGATGGTCTGGTCCTGTAGTGAATGGAACGTTTCACAAGCCTCTAGGACCAAGAGTGCCTGTTCGGGGGGAGAGGGGTATCCCAGATGATTAATGAGTGTGTCCACATCATCCAGACTTGTTCTGGGGCCCATGCAGCCCCTATCCAATGGGTACCAGGAGCTGTTTCCCCAGGGGGGTGAGGCAGCAGGGGTATGAAGCTGTCCACTCACCTGCAACTAGTACCGAGGTCAAGAAAATGTGGATCTGTACATCCACTCTCCCATACTTCATGACATAGTGCTTAATTAGTTAAGCACAGGGACAACTTTACCTTTCTCTCTTCAGAAAATGATAGAATTTATATTTTAAACTGAGCTGAGTAATTATTATATTTATCTGTTTTAGCACAACAACAGATGATTCTTTCATACATGTTTGATTTCTCAAAGGGCACAACACAAAATATTTTACTGTTCCTTTCATACACATTGTCTTTTTAACTCTTTGACTGCCAAGTCCCACCATAAAATTGCCTGCTAGAAATCCCAATACTGTTTGGGGGTTAATGCAGCTGCACAGAAACCCCAAGATGCTTCCTCATTTAACATTCACATGACCACAAGTATAGGTCACTTGAAAGCTTGTTCTGTCTTCTAGACATTGATGTGTCACTTGATGGTGCCTGTTGACAGAAATATCATACCATTTGATCAAGAGGGAGCTGATCTCTTTGGCTATGCCAATATTAAAACAAGTACCCCAGTCTGATCTAATGGGTTCATGGCTTGCAAAAGGATAATAATCCTAGTGCAGCTGTGCAACACATACATGGGTATCTATCTAAAAAATGCTGTTTTTTCTCCATGTGTCTTGAGAGTACACTGTGCAATAAGGTTTTTGTCACACTGATATTATAAAATGATTTATATATATAGGATGGGGGGCAGAAACTTCCTTTTTTTTTTTTTTTTTTTAAGGCAAATAAAAGAAAAATTATGTTTAGCTAATGAAAGAAGTTTTAAATCATGTAGTTTTAAACAAAATATCTTGAAGGTGGTGGCCACTGTTCTCTATGGACTGATGCAACCGTTTTCTGAAGTTCCCCTCTGCACATTCCAACATGTGCACAGGAATTTGGGCTACTTCCTGCCAAATAACATTCTTCAGCTGAAGCAGGTTTGTGGGGCGATGTTTAAAAACCTCTGCCTTGAGGTATCCCCATAAAAAAAATCACAGGGCATTAGATCAGGTGGGTGCACTGCCCACGGGATGTCACCTCAAAGCGAGATGAGCCGTCTGGGGAACTTTGTCCTCAAAACTGTCATTGAAGCTCGGGCTGTGTGGGCCGTAGCACCATCCTGTTGGAACCAGACATTTCCTAGATGCATTTATTCAAGAGCTGGTTTGAAAAAGTTTTTAACCATGTCCACATACCGCTGTGAATTGACAGTAACTACATGATTGTCTTCATCAAAATAATAAGGGCCAATAACTCCAACTCTCGACAACGCACACCATACTGTCACCTTATCACTGTGAAGTGGCCTCTCATGGAGCTCTCTGGGATTGTTCCACTCCAATAGCATATATTCTGCTAGTTGACATATCCGGATAGGTGAAAATGTGCCTCATCACTAAAGAAAACAAGTGCATCAGGGGATAAAGTTTCCAATAACATTTCGCGCGCCGTTCTTCGGTTCTGGAAATCATGTGGTGACAATTCTTGCACAACAGCCATCTTATAGGGATGGAAATTAAGATGTTCGTGAAGAATTCGGCGCATTCAACGATTGGATATGTCTAGGGTGACTGCATGTTTGCGAGTGGAATATCGTGGAGATCTCAAAATCGGCTGTTGAACTGCCTCCACATTTTCTGGCGTTGTAACGGTCCATTGTCATCATGATGATTTTTTCACCACACTCCCGGTTGTCCTAAAGTTCTCTACCCACAAAACAATCGATTTCCGGTCGGGAACTGGACCTCTGGGCTTAATTCCGAAGTGAGTACGGAATGCACGCTGCACCGCCACATAGGAATGGTTGTTTGAGAAATAGGCTTCGACAGCAAACGCACACTGCTCACTCGTCCGCCTCATGTTTCCTACTGAGGGGTATTAGACAGAAACTTCCGCGACTGCTGCGTTCACCGAGCCTATCCCCACTTTTCTGTGACCTCCCCTCCCTTCACAAAAAGGAAGTTCCTGCACCCCATCCTGTATTTTTTATGCCCATGATGAAAATGAATTTTTCTGCTGTTGACATGAATGTTCTGAGTGACACATGACTTTAGATTATTTAGATTAACATTACAAAAGAAGAGGGGATGGAAAGTGTCCACTTGTGCTTCCTGTGCTTTGTCAGGTTTGGTGTGTCACTGATTGAATGGTCATATTTAGAACATAACCATACTTGTTCAGTTTTGTCACAGATCATACATCTTGACTTTCATTTGTCAGTGACTGACCTGAATTTGCTCAGTGAACCTCATGAACTTTACTCATGGATTTCTTAATTTCTAGTAATTTGTAAATGCTTAATATTCTCTGGATGCATGTGCATATTATTTTCTGTCAGAATTCTGTGTGTCAGCTGTTTATACAAGGGCATTATTTAGGATGGTAGACAGCAGTTATGTAACCAGCAGTATAGCAGTGTAAACTTCGGTTGTTGACAATGTTGTGTGTGCTCTTGATGATGAGTTATAAGGCTCAAAACATGTTTGACTATTTGTAATTGTACATATCTCATTTGTTACATTGGATAGTTATTGAACTGTCTTTTGCGTAAAAGTACAACTGTATGCTTTTCAGCGTTCTAGGAAGACCTTCTATAATATAGCTAGTTACTGTGAACCTGATATGTCTCAGTTTCAAGAAGGTTTGCAGTAGTGCTGTGACCAAAATGAAATAGCCAGTAGAATTGTGTGCTTATTGAGTGGAACCTTGGCACTTGCTATTGAATGACATGATTACTTCAATACTGTATACAAGGCTAAAGTAACACACAGAATTACTGGGTTTTTGGGATTTTTCCATTGTCTAGTATTCTAGAAAGTAGAAAATATGATGTTTTGGTAACTGGATCTGTTTCCATCCTCAGGTGAGGGCCAAGACACCTACTCAGTTGAGCCCCTTAGAAAGATGGGGAATGGGGAAAGTCCAAAAACTTGGTAATTCTGTTTGTTATACACCATCGTCAGAAGTCTTTAGAACGTACATGGCTAAAGTAAGTTTGACACATGCTTTCTGCTCCTGATTACCAAGCTTAGTGTGAGCACATACAAATTTTGTTGAAATCATAATTGTTACACATAGCAACACTTAGCAGTAATTCATGACAAATGTAATAACACCACCTTTTTGATTCATTTTATTTTTTATTTTATTTTATCATTATTTTTTTGCAGCCATTGGCATGGTAGAAGCAGTGGATTCTGACTCTGGTACAAAATCACCTGAACTGGGAAAAACTGAATTAGTGACTATAGCACAATCTATTTTGTATTCATCAGAATATAGTAATGGTAAGTCAGATATAGCATAACCATATCATTCATGTCTGTTTCAGAAGTTTGAGCTGAATTATGGATTGAAGTTTCAAGAAAATGCAGTTAAATAATAAATATTGACACTGTTGAGCTAATGATCTTAGTCCTAGTCTTATTGATATTTGGATAGTACTCAAAATTCCAGTTGGAGACTGGCTGTTGCAATTGAGTTTTGTAGTTTTCAACAGTCCTTCCCTGCAAATATCATGATAATACTGTGACGTGTTGCGCTACGGTAATAGGCAGGTCAACACCTTCCCAACCCCGCCAGCGGTGACGTGCCGAGCAGAGCCGAAGTGAGCCGAGTCCAAGCACAGTGGTTGCTAGGCAAAGAGAGTAAACAGCGGTGATGTAACACGGGATGCCGCAGTTGCTACATAGCTGTAAACAACTCCCAACAGCGTTGCTAGGCTATCGGCAAACACGGCGACTAGGCAACAAGGAAGTGAGGCGTTTTCCCATTGTCTGGCTGAGGGTTTATAAGAGACCTACACTGCCTACAAAGACAGTTAAAGTGTATCAGCCGACAAAGTGAGTTCTCAAGGCAGCAGCCTACGAGTTGAGTTGGAATCTAGCCAGCAGTGAGCAGTACGAGTTGAGTTGAGTTGGAGTATAGCAGCAGTTGCGGAAAGAAGAACTGGACGCGTGTGTAATTGTGTAATTGGGAGTGTGTAATACAGAGAGACTTGTATAGCTCCCATACTGTGAATATGTGTAGACTACTGAGGACATTGTGAAGAGATTATTGCGAATAGGGTTATAAAATGTGAAACCCCATAACAGTGTTATAATCAGTTGTAGTTACGACTTGTAGGTTGTTAAATAAACCAATTAACAATCCAAACGGCGTCTTCAGTAACGAAACACGTTACATTTGGTGTCAGAAGTGGGATTGGACTTACACATGTTACCAACAAGTTTCAGTGCCTAAACACGTTGCACTTGGTGTCAGAAGTGGGATTGGACTTACACATGTTACCAACAAGTTTCAGTGCCTAAACACGTTACGCTTGGTGTCAGAAGTTGGATTGGACTTACACACGTTACCAATAAGTCTCAGTGGCTAAACACGTTACACTTGCTGTCAGAAGTGGGATCAGTGATGAAACACATTACAGTACTTTATAATAAGATCGTAATTAATACTACATCCTTTCCAATTTCTCATTCTTGATTATATTACCATATTTCATTTGAAACTACATAACCTCAGTATATAACCTTTATCACATTTGCTTAAAACTGTTGGATCAGTGTATTGCATGATCCACTTGGTCCAGTGTTGAATATTTTCGTTACTGATACTATTATGCCACAGTTTAAATATGGTTGTTAGACCCCTGAAAGCAGGCGATTTAAACTCTTTTATGCCCTGACACCAAACTGGTACTCGCAAATTAAAGTGTGGTCACCACCATATAATACTGAGAGATTTAAAACCACTCCACCTCCGTGGTCTAGTGGTCAGAGTTCCTGGCTTCAGATCCTGAGGTCCTGGATTCGATTCCCCTGTGCTACCAGATCTTCTGAGATGTAATGGGTCTGGAATGGGGTCCACTCAGCCTCGTGAGGATAATTGGGAGCTGTCTCAAGGAAACAGTGGCTCTTGTCTAGACAACCGAGATTAGTGGCCATGGGGATCCGTTGCGCTTACCACGTGACACCCTCTATCTGCTAAAGTGGGAACTGACTTCGTCATCAAGTGGCTGTCACTCAGTCGGTATAGTTCGCTTGCGGATTCAAGTCCTGGAGTTTTTTTTAATTACCCAATGATAATAGTTAATGCATGGTCATAAAATAACTGAAAAAATGATGTGCATAATTGTAGAATATGAAATATGTTATTTACAAAGTAACTGCTAATTTAGATTCACTGAATTACTGCTGTGTGTTACATTGCTATCTTTTCAATAGTGCTGAAATATTATTTATTGTTGCAGGAAATGGCTACTACTTATTCAGTGCTCCCAAACTGCAGTGTGATATTGGTGAGACTGAAAATGCTACAATTCAGGAACTGGAGGATGAAGAAAATATTGATGATTTTAAAATGGAAAGTGAATTGTTTTCACTCTGGTTCTGGTGGTAAGTGTTATAGTGGGTTTTCTGTTCAAGAGGATTTAGTTCATGCAAATTTCATTTTGATTTTTTAAGGAATGCATCGTATTGCGTGTTAAGTACTATATATCTGTGTTTGTGAGCGCTCTTGTGCGTGTGTGCATACATGTATGTTTTTTTGTGCCTGTCAAACACCACAAAAACAACTATCATATCACTCACATTCAACAGGTGACGAAAGCAGACATCACAGGGTGAGCTTGAATAAATATTGTAACGTGTTTCGTTACAGAATACGCCGTAGAGATCGTTAATTGGTTTATTTAACAACCTACAAGTAACGGCTACAATTATTTATAACAATTTTACGGGTTTCCACACTTTACAAACCCTACAACCAAATCTCTTCACACTATCTTCAGTAGTCTTCACGTATTAATAACGCGGGAGCTATACAAGTCTCCCTGAATTACACACTTTCACTCGTAACACGCCGCTGGCTAGATCCCAACTCTGCTCGCAGGCTGCTGCCTTGAGAACTGTTGATAACACACTGACTCGTCGGCTTGCTCGGAACTCTCGGAGGTAGCTCGAGGACCGTCTTCGGCGATGGCCACATTACAACTCTGTGACTGCTACGGTACAACTCAACTACAACTGTCTTCGGCGATGGCCACATTACAACTAACTCGCAGCTGCTGTGCAGTTCCCTTATATAGCTGCAGTGGTGCCTGTTGCGTGCCACGTCACAGGAGTTGTTGACTGCTATCTAGCAACCGCGATATCCCTTGGTGACGTCACCGCTGTTCACTCGCGTTGCATAGCTACCAGGTTGCGGGGACTCGGCTAACTTCGGCTCCGCTCGGCACGTCACCGCGGGGAGAGTGGCGAGGTGATGACTCGCCTATTATCGTAGTAACGAGAGCGCTACGTTACTGCCACGTGCCGCTGGGGAGGTAGGGGTCCTCCATTGTGCAACATGTCACAATATTAACATTATAAACAACATAGGAGAAGACATTTCCATGCTGTACATCGCATTCTCGGATCAAGATAATAGCCAAAACTGAAATATAGTCATGAACAATAACAAACCCAATGCAACCTTGTTTAAACTAAGGGTGAGAAAATATCTAGAATATGATATTCTATAAGCCTAACATTTTAACATTTTAATAATATTAAAACTTTTGATATACCGTTTATATTGTCACGTGTTGGGTGTATAACACGACAGATGTTGAGATTTTAATATTTTTTAATTTTTTTTATTGCTAGTGGGGTGGCACTAAGTCCCTGTACTGTGGCCACTTCTGGCCTATTGTACCAGTCCCAGATGATAGGTGAGGGTGATTGTGGAGCAATTGGTGGAATGAAGATTGGCAGGGAAAACTGAAGTACTCGGAGAAAACAAGCCCCAGCACCATTTTGTCCACCACAAATCCTACTTGACCAGACCCGGAATTGAACCCGGCCTGCTGTGGTGGGAAGCCAGCGACTAACCGCTTGAGCTATGGCGCGGCAAAATTTTAACAAGTTTTAATGCTTATTTTATACATTTTAAACTAGTTCATGTTCAGTATAGAAACACTTAATTTGTGCATATAATGGTGAATAGTAAAAATGAGAGAAGCACGCTATATTATCACTTCATTCATAATACATGACTAAAAACACTATATGGATCCATATAGAAAGCACATTTCAATAGTGTAAGACTTGCTTATGTATCACCTGATGATGGCTCTGTGATCTGAAACATGTAGCGATGCTGTACAACCAAATAAATTCAGATATGCACAGTGGAATATGAGTTATTTGATGTTTGTTTTTGTTGTGTTTGACAGGTAAAATGAAAACTCATATATACATATACAGGGTGTTCAACCATTGAGGAAACCCGGCAGCAACGCTGATCAGGAACAACATTCCTCACAAATTGCCGCTGTAACTGCCGATAGCGGAATGGGTCATTAGCGCTGATAAACGTGTGCTGTCAGGCGGTTTGATATTGTGACTGCAGTAAGTTGCATTACTAGTCAGTCTGTGTTAGAGGTGTCGATAGGCAGTCGACATTTATACTGAAATGAAGTTCACTGTTGAACAGCATGTGTTTATTGTCGAAACTTTTGCAAGGATAAAAACACAGAAAATGTATCCGGTTTGTCGTAAATATCCTGACTTGCCAGTTCCCACAAAGTAGTGTGTATCCAAGCTTGTGAAAAAGTAGTGTGTTATGTCATTTTGTAGAGCTTCAGTGCTGCGAGGATTATTCTTGTATACTTTTCCCTTCAGGTTTCCCAAAAAATAAAAATTGCAAAAACAGATCTGGGGATCTGGGAGGCCACAGTCCTCTGCTTATTCTCTCTTCAAACACTTCCCATATTGTGACCATGGTTGCAGTAGCTGTATGTGCTGTAGCATCTTGCTGAAAATACCCATATTGTCTTCAGCAGTCAGCTGAATGAAGAACGGATTCAGTATCTCATTAAAGTAGCAGTCAGAGTTCACGGTTTCATGGAAAAATAAAGGGCCAGTGATTTTCTGCAGACTTAAGCACACCACGCTCCCACCTTTTCACTATGTATTCACACTTGCTGTATAGCATGAGGATTTTCATCACTCCATATTCTTACATTTTATGCATTGACATGACCACTAACATGAAACCGCGCTTCATGAGTCATGACCAGGAGCTGTGGATCCATGACTCCATCATGCACATTTTGCAGCAGCCAGTTGCAAAAACGAATTCTTGCGGCATAGTCTGGTTTTTCAGCTCATGCACAATTGTTATTTTATATGGGCGAAATGTGATTAATTTTGTGGCTGTGAAACCAGATCCTAGCAAAACACTGGTTTCCTATGCTAAGCATCTTAACGATTTTTGAGGACTGATCTGTAGTCGTGCCTCAGTATCCGGAACCTCTTCTTCACTCAGCACAGTCCTCTTCGATTGCTTCTTTATGTTTCACACTGAACCTTTGGCCCGCCACTTTTTCACAAGCTTGGATACACACAACCTTGTGGGAACTGGCAAGTCAGGATATTTATGATGAAACTTACAGATACATTTTCTGTAACTTTTTTCCTTGCAAAAGTTTCGACAATGAACACACTGTTCAATAGTGAACTTCATTTCAGTATAAATGTCGACCGCCTATCGACACCTCTAACAAAGACTGACTATCAATACTACATACTGCAGTGACAAAATCAGGCCACCTGATGGTGTGCGTTTATCAGCACTAATGACTCATTCTGCTATTGACAGTTACAGCAGCAATCTGTGAGGAATGTTGCTCCTGTTGCAAAGTTTCCTCTTTGGTTGAACGCATTGTGTATATATTGTCACGTGTAGGAGGGTACGTGTGGCAAAATGACGGGTTCTGGTTCGCATGATTAACAGCTTGGTTACATGCACTCTTTGTTGCACTAAAATACAGCACTATCACTGATCTACACACTTTCCAGTTCACTGTTGCACACACACTAGTTGTCTCCTAGCAAGGGTTCACAATACAGAAACTGTAACTTCCAAGTCACTCCAAATATTACACATCACACGTTCAGTTCTACTTTTTCCCACAGCTGCTTTGCATTCACTCTGAGAACTAACACTGACTAACTGCTTTGACTGACTGACTGACTGACTTCTATTCTGCTGAATACTCGAATACTCCAAATGCTAACTAATACTGTCTTTGGCAGCTGCTACATTTCAACTCCTTAGGCATTCCAGTCTCCCTTATAAGCCCTCAATCGGACAGGGGGAAAACACAGCTTGCTTCATCGTTGTGTGACACTGCGTTTATAGAGGCATTGCTTTGCAGTGCTGCCGAGAGTTGTTTATTGCTGCATAGCAACCAGTGTTGTTTGGCTTGGCTCTGCTCAGTTCAGCTTGGCTCGACATGGCATGGCACGGAGAAACTCCGCTTTCCTTACTGTTGTGTAACCTCGTTCCGCTGTTGCATAACTTGGCAACTGACCGTTTGTCAGGAGTCTGTCTTCGTGGTAACTCATTCCACATCCTGTTGCCCAACAATGGCTTGTCATGTCACATTGCTCCCTCCTTAAGGCTGTTCATCCCAAATAGCTTAACAGTGCATCACTAGTCCTTTCGTTCCGAGGCTGTCCTTGCAACATCTTTTTGTCTATATATACAGGCTGTTCCTAAAAGAATGGTGGGGTTTTAGATACGTATATATTTCGTATTTCTTACTGTGTACAATCATAACATATGTCAATTGGAAGCTTAACTGTCCAAATTTTAAGTACATTGATCAAAGTGCCTCTATGTGCGCACCTTTCATTACCCGGCACATATCAGTGCGATAGTCGAATTCCTGCCACACCCGCTGCAGCATTTCAGGTGTGATGGTCTCCATCGGAGATCCTGGAGCGATTGGGGCAATGGGGGTACATAAACCATGTCCTTCACGTACCCCCACAAGAAGAAATCACATGGAGTTATGTCCGGGGATCGGGGTGGCCACCAGAGAAGGAGGGCATCTTCACCTGCAGCACGTCCAATCCATCGTTGCGGAAGGACCAAATTAACACTTCGCGGACTGGACGCCTGGGCCTAGGCGTTTGGGTTTTAAACGTGGCAGACTGGTCGCATAGATTTAGGCTTTTAGGACACATTATGTTGCAACACACTATTCCTCCCTTTGGTGGCCACATGTCTGTAAAAGTACTGCGTAGCTGACCTTCGGAATGTTTGTTTTCGGAGTCAGCAACATGACCACTCTCTATTCCCCTCTCACTCTAAAGAAAAGTCCCTTTGTTCAAGTCGAAGCTTCTATGTGTGAGGCAACATATTCTCAGTGTCAACATGGCTCAGAGACGAAAGCAGTTGAAGGCCGCGCAAGCTCTCAGAGAAGAAGAAATCTGTGATTTGATCTCCGATGAGTTATCTGACTTGCCAACTGCTTCGTCTTCTGATAGCGAGGGCAGTGTCAGTGGCAGTGACAGTGAGAGCTCCAATGAAAGTGCGAGTGCTAGCATTGCGGGGACAGCCACATGGGGTAAAGTGGACAAAACACCCACTTTGGGAAAGTTTACTGGTGATCCAGGGGTGAGACAAATGCCATTGGACCCTACACAAGTGTCTGAAATAGTTGAACTGTTTTTTGGAGATAGTTTCTTTGACATGTTGTGTCAGGAGACCAACAGATACTATCTCCAACACCGTGAGGCGTACGACCGCACCTATAAGATGTTGAAGTGGGTGGATGTCACTTTAACAGAAATGAAAAAAATTTTGGCTATGATCATTCTAATGGGGCTTACGAAGAGAGATACTTTGAAGGATTATTGGTCAAGTGACCCATTTTTAGAAATTCCCATTTTCGGCAAACGCATGAGTCATAAGAGATTTGAACAGATATGGTGGTGTTTGCATTTCAATAATAATGAAGTGCAACCACAACCAACAGGGGGCTTTTCAGAATTCAGCCCTTATTAGACTAGTGGCTACTGACCTCACGGTGGTGGCAGTACCTGTGTCAGACACAGATGTAGTGCAGCCGGGGCCATCTGTTCACACCCAACGGAGGCCTCATGTGGACCCCCCTGGACGACTCTCGGGTGATATGCGGAAACATACCCTCGTGGGAATTTTGAAGAGCGAACATTGCAAGAAGTACCCTTCTAGACAGTGCCATGTGTGCACAGTCCACAAGAAGAGTAGGACTGCGTACATCTGCAACTTCTGCGTGATGCCTCTTTACAAAGGGGAATGTTTCCAGAGATATCACACGCGCAAGCAGTTCTAGGAGCTCTGGTAAGTGTTCTCCAAAAATTTTAGTTCATAAAATTAATTAGGAGATTTTATATTAATTTTTAAAGTGAACAGTGCACAAGTTAGGGTGCTAGGCTTAAAAACCCCGGTCCCCAGGGTGATTTAAACATTTAAACAACCGGTCCACAATGTGTTAAGCAAACCTCTCACAATGCTATGGAAATGTGAGGGAGCACCGTCCTGTTGGAAAATATAGTCATTGGAATCATTGGCCAGTTGTAATGATTTTCTTGGGCTTCTCTGATACGTCTCCCTCACTCTTTCCACGTCTGCATGTGGCACAAATGGCCTCCCAGAACTCTTGCCTTTAGAGAGACATCCACTATCCACAAACTGCCGATACCATCTGCGAATGTTGTTTTCATGTGGCGCCTCCTTCTGAAAACGTACACGAAATTCACGGCGCACTGTAACCTCAAATCTCAGCATGCAATTGGCCTTCTTCTGCTGGGTCGCCATCTTACATTACACGCATTACATGAGTCTGTATACGTTTTGCTTTTCATCACCAAAAACTGACGGAGATAATACGAGAATGAAACCCCAGCATTCTTTTAGGAACACCTGGTATAGTTAAATTTTACTTGTTTTTGTGTGGTCTAATCCCAAGCAAAGAAGTTAGTTTTGATTTTTTTGTGTGGTATAATCCTGTGTTACATGACATTCAGATGGACTTAACCAGTTTTGTCAGAAATGAGTTATTGTACAAAAACAATTGGTACATGTAAAAAAAATATTATATCAAGATCTGCAGTTTTCATATGCTACTCTTTTAAGAAGACATCATTTATGACTGTGCGATTAACTTTGCAGCAGTTGTTTTATATCCGCAGTAAATGTACATCATCAACAGTGAGGTATGCAGTATCACAAAGAATAGCTTTGAAAAATAAATGTACCCCAAATTGGAGTACACTCTTGCACACATTACAAAAAAACCTTATTCTTGATTGTAATGTACACATTTAAATTTCAGCCTAAGAATGAATTCAGTACATTCCTGTTTATTAAATGACATCTCAGACTGAATAAACTTTGTTTGATGAACTGCATTACATTCTGTTGGTCAAGACAAACTTGGTAGATGGATGTTGTTAATTCATGTTCTTAGGGTCAATTACGCAGCTGCAGAATTTATATGACAGTTTGAATTAACACAATCTGTACCTATCAAACCTGAGACTTGATTAACATAAATTTTTGTAGTAGCATTTCCTCTGCTATTGTACATAAAAGTAAACATGACATTAAATTTGGAGAGATCTTGAGAAGCATACTGAATATAAAGTGGAATGTTAGAGATATTCTGCTGTGCATAGTCATCAGATCAATCTGATGATGAATGTCAGTATTAACCTTTATTGTCTGGTAGTAGGAGATTTAAGTTTCACAATACTATGGCACTGATAGCCAGATTTTAAGTGGGTGATAATGGTATTGGCAGTAAACTCCTGGTTGTCTGATGTGTATGGGGAATGGGGTGTGTCACAAGAATCTACTGGTTTCATGAGAAAGACTTTCACAGAAACCCAATACAGAGTCAGAACAACAGATCTTCACTTTAATTCTTGTATGAGAGTCTTCCTGTATGCATTTTGACGGATGAAAGATTTTGGATACATGTACTGTAACACAATCACATGGCACCTGTTTTCTCCCTTATACAGGTGCCATGTGAGGAAGGGAACAGATAGTGCTGCTAGTGGCAGCTGCGATAACTACCCTGTGGCAAGTGAATGTACTCATTGCAGCTTTGTATTTAAGTAACTTTATAAAAGGGGTGAATTGTCTTAAATCTGTGCCTAATGCCTGAGAATTCCAGATACTTTAATGTTGGATAACCAGGAGTTTACTGTATGTTGTAAACAGTGTGACACTAAGCTTGCTCTGATTTGCATATGCATCATCACAGTGGTGTGCTTCACAGGTTATGAAAGGTAATGTGTATGATAAGCATGAAGATGCCATGAAACTATGAAAACCAGCATTTTCTTTTCTTCTCATTTTACATCATTGATTCATGCCATTACTTGTTGTCTGTTAAGTCAAATGTAATTTCAATATCAGTCATCTGAGGTAAGCTGTATTTCAGAATCAGTATCAAAACTATCTCCACAATGGCATGTGCACTGAAAATGGCACCGGCAGCAGAGTGACTGATTTTGTAATTCATTGAACCCAAGCCTGTAAGGTCCAAAACATCAGTTTTGTGTCATTATTTAGAGCTGTAAGTCTGTCAGGTAACATTGTACCTTCCACATCAAGTGGCTCCAATTTGTGTGCAGGAAATTTAAGGACATTTAATAGTATGTAATAGAAATATTACAACCACATCAAATTTAAGTACAGTTCACCATGGCTTCAACCCAGCCACCCATAATTTTACAGCTCTGCACATATGATCATGAACAGTCAGTCCCATATACCATGTCAGTAACTTGAGAATTGTTGTTAAGGCATAAATTTAATGCTTTATTCTGTTAGGAAAGAGGTTCTTGTCATCAGCATCTCCACAGCTGTCTTGGTGAATTTAGTAGTCACACAACGATTCTTGCGTGCCATTCACCTGCTTCCAATCACAAGCGCTGAAGTGATGGAACAGGTAAGAATTCAGTATTTTACTGAATTGTTTGTTGTAGAGTTGGAAATAATAGCCATCTTCAAGGAGCTTAAGCATATATCAGTTTTGTCTACTTATATATGAGGGCAATTAGGAAAGTAACCTTCATTTATTTAGGCCAGTAATGTACGAGGGGGAGAGGTAGTGCCACATGGCTCACTCCCTTGTAAACCATCACATAACTGGTCATCTAGTGTTAGTTCTTGTCTCTACAGAGTGAGTTATGATGTGTCCTGCGATTGATAATCCCACCAGCTGCAAAGTTCATGAAATTATCTGCTTTCTTCATGCTAAAAATGTGAATTCTGTGGAAATGCATCTCGAATTATGCATGGTTTACAAAAAATAGAATGAGTGAAGGGACTGTAAGACAGTGGTGTAGAATGTTTGAAGATGGGTGAACAAATGTTGACAATGAAGAGGGAAGTGGTCTTCCAGCCATCTGTAGTGAATAATGATCTTGTTCTAAGTGTTGACCAAAAACTTTGTCAAATATGGCACTTCACAATTTTATAATTTTCATGTGGATTTCCACAAATTTTATGCACTGTTCTCTATGACATTATCACAAGTTTTGTGCAAGATTGATTCCAGAAATGCTCATGGGTGCACACAAAATGCAGAGAATGGCTTTGGCTTTGACTTTTTTAAAGTGGTTTCACAAAGAGGGAGACAAATTTCTCACATCACACGAGTAACAGGTGATGAAACTTGGGTTTTGTTTGTGAATGTTGAAACCAGAGAGCAGTCGAAGCAGTGGATGCACATAATACATTCACGAAAGAAGCTGAAAATGTTTAAACAAACATTGTCTGCCTGCCAGAAAGCCGATGGCAATTGTTTTCTGGGACAGGAAAGGAGTGCTGATGGTGTAATTTGTGCAACAAGGGACCACAATAATGCCAGAAGTGTATTACAAAACACTAAAATAATGTGTAAGACCATTCAGAACAAAAGGCATGGAATGCTGATATCCGATGTACTGCTTATCCACGACAATGTGCATCTGCACACAACTGGTTGCACTCTAGCACTGCTGGAGTATTTCAGCTGGGAGTTGTTTGAACACCCTCCTTACATACCTGATCTTGGTTTGAGCGACTACCACATGTTTGCCTACCTGAAGAACTCGTTGAGATCACAACGCTCCAGCAGTAATGAAAAGTTGATGAAAGGTGTCAAAACATGGCTGAGCTCACAGGCAGCAGACTTCTCAATTCTGGTGATGACTACATTGAGAAGTAGCTTAAGTATATATGTATTTTTTGTATATAACAATTTTTTTTTCCTCGTCGCTTGTTTTGTAAACAGCTCACCAGAGGTTACTTTCGAAATAGCCCTCAGATATCTTCCACATATAATGATTGAAGCACTTCATATGCAAGTATTCTTTGCACAAAGGTAAAGGTAAAAGACTAATAATGTTTTTAAATTAATTAAGTGTTGCTTTTGTTTTCTAATCTTCATTGCACAACATTCACACTTACATACATGCCCCCCCCCACACACACACACACACACACATGCGCATGCACGTGGACGCACACACAAAGAAGGAAAAATGTATACTACAAAATTTTCTATTAAATCCTCATCCCCCCAAAAAGAAACAACTGCCACTGGTCCAGGGAACATCCTTATGTCATAATACTCAACAAATTTTATTGAAAGTTGGCATTTCTGGCCTAAATTAAATTGTCAGAAATTGTAGTTGGAGTAGATTTGTTTTTATTCATTTGGTATATGAGCAGTGTTCTGTATATAATGCCTCCTATTTTTTTTATGAAAACTACAACAGATACAGAAAGCATAATAACGCAGTCAAATAGAGCAAGATTTCACCTACTTACAGTTATTTTTCCACATAACCACCACCATTCGTTATGCAATTTTGTCAGTGATGAACAAGAGCCTGTATGCTGCGCCTGTAGAAGTCTGCGCCAACAAGGCTAGTCACTTTCTTACAGCTGCAGTGACAGCGTCGTTGTCTGGAAAATGTTGCCCATGTAGTCCAGCTTTCATAGGCCCAAAGAGATGGAAGTCTGAAGGTGCTAAATCGGGGCTATAAGATGGATGTGGTAGGACAGTCCAGCCAAACTTTGCAATGTGCATGGTGGTTGCCAAACTGGTGTGGGGTCTAGCGTTATCGTGTTGCAAGCAAAAGGTTGTCTGCTTCTCTGGCCTGACTCGGGAAATGCGGGCTTTCAGCTTAGTCAGCGTCATCTTGTAGCATTCAGAATTGACAGTCACCAGGCTCCAGGAAATATAACAAAATCACAGCCCACCCATCCCAAAAGACTGTGCACATCACTTTCCCTGCCGATGGCTGTGTCTTGAACTTCTTTTTTCTTGAGGAATCCAGATGTCGCCACTCCATGGATGGTCTTTTGGATTCCAGCTCGTAGTGGTGACACCACGTCTCATCCGGTAAGGATGCTGTCCAGGAACTTGTCACCTTCGACCTCAAACTGATGCAGCTGGTCCTGACAGACTTCCATTTGATGAGTTTTGTGATCTTGTATAAGCATCCTCGGGACCCACCTGGAACAAACTTTGCGATAATCCAGCTTCCCCCTCATCGTTTCCAATGCATTACAGCCGATATTAAGCCGTGCACACAGTTCCCTGGTCGTTACCTGCCAATCTGCATGGATGAGCTGATCGAGGCACTGTTCATTGTGAGGAGTAGCAGCTGAGCAGGGACGTCCGGGGCGTGGCTTGTCATGCACTTCACTTTCGTCACTGTTGAAAGCACTACCCATCGCCTCATTGTGCTGACATCCACTGAATCATCTCCGTACACCTTTAGCAAGCGTCGATGAATGTCAATGGGTGCAATTTGTTTGGCAGTGAGAAATTCAATAACACATCTCTGTTTCGTATGCACTTCTATGTCAGACGCCATTTTGGTAGACTGCTCTGCTCTCGCTATCTGTCGCATGACAACCAAACTAACATTGGCGGGAAGGTTCAACCTTTAGTACAACACCAACATCCAGCTCAGACGTTACATATTAACACAAAATAATAGGAGGCATTATATACGGAACGCCCTTCGTAATATAACATCTACATTATATGGCATGTAAATCAGACTTCATTAGCTCTCACAGAAATGGCTCGTCATGTGAAAGATTGAAGCATACAAAAGAGTATAGTTACAATTAAGATTACAGCTGTTACAGGAAATATCTGTAGTAACTTTGTGCGCTGTGATGTGTGCAGGGTGTGATTAGCTTTGAATGATAGATTGTAACTAAAACAACTGAACTTCCAAGACAAAGAATTTGTAAAAATTTACAAATTATATACAGTCAACTCTCGATTATCCAGGGGCGGATAAACCGGTTTGTGTCTTAACCAGGGCTACTGGGGCTTTTTTGAGGCTTATATGTTGTTTAATATTCATTCACTTTTGTATCGCATGGTGAGTTGTAACACTCTTTTCGCACTAGTGTGAACCGAGCTCTGCATTTTTTGGTCCCGTTTTGCTAACACAATGTTCTAGGGTAGGGGTGAAAGAATGCAAGGATTTGTGGAAAATTTCAAGGACAGATACACCGCCCCAGTTGGTCTCTTTGTGTCTATCTTCAAGTGCATTAGCAAAATGTCAGGGTGTAAAAGGAAGCGTGTTGTGTTAAGTATTCAACAGAAACTCGTGTGAGCTGGGCTTCGAAATGTTAAGCAGTGTCGAAACCGTAAGTTCAGTGGGGGTGCAGCCAGAAGAGCAGGAAGGGAGTGAGAATGAGGAAGAGGTGGACAGTGCTGCTAGTAAGAAAATATCACATCATGCTGCTCTTAATCATTTGGAATCCTTACTAGACTATCTTGAGAGTGAAGAGAACAGTTTACTAAGTGACAAGCTAATATTACATAGGCTTTGTATGGATATCCGTAAAAAGGAAAATGCCGTGAAAAAGCAAACAATATTTATTTTTTTTAAGTGTTAAGTGTGAATATTCGTAAAAAGTGTTGGATGTTGTTGAACACTGTGATTGAAATAACTAATTCACACTTCAGTATAATGTAAAAAAAAAGTATTAAATAGGCCATGAGATGACATTAAAATGAAGTTGAGTAAATTTAAATACAGGTAGGCCTATAGTATTATGAAGGTACAGTATTACAGTACTACTTTTAATAACATTTGTCTTAACCGGGTTTTCGATTAATCGTGATTTCCATGCCCACCATTACCCCGGATAATCAAGAGTTGACTGTATTTGGAAAATATGTGTTCTTCAGAGTGGTGTATATCTTCCTATTAATGCTTTGAAATACCACACAAGAGTGCTGTTTAACCCATTGTGTGGTATGATGAGAAACAGTACATAAATACCGTATTTATGCATGTATAGGCAGCACATTTTTTGCCAAAAATTCAAGAGGAAAACTGGGGTGCGGCTTATATTCGAAATATTCGAAATCACACTTCATTTAAAAAAATATATACGAATAGTATATATACGAATTAGTAGTAATAATAATAATAATAATAATTAGTAATAATTAGTAATTAGCAGCGTAGAGCGGATGGAACGTTTCTCCGCAACTACTGTGCCCCTCCCCGCTAGTGAGAGTGCAGTCGTGTCGCTGATACCCTTACACCAGTTTCTGTACATGCACACATTTATAAGAATACTGTAAAAAGATAACACAAACTTACCGTGCTTTATAACAGGTGCTGATAGTGACCCCCTTCTGCTTGCAAACATGCTTCGCATCGCATGAATAAATTATGCGACACTTTCTGAAGTTGGTCCACAGTAATTGAACCATATTACTGTTCATCACTTGACTCGTTACTGTCGATGTCACTCTCGCTCGAAGTTTCGCTGTCAGGTGATGTTAGCCATACAGCGTCATCTTCAGTCCCGTCCATTGCGTTGGAAATGGATGTGACTTTAAAACTTTTGGAAACCATTTCTTCTGGTATGGTGTTCCATGCAGCCACAATCCACTCACACATTTGACTTAATGAAGGTTTCTTCAATCGTCCAGTCGGCGTCATCTCCGTGGAACCGCATCTCCAGTCCCGGTAAAAGCGCCGCAAATGAGACTTGAAAGGACGGTTTATTGACACGTCAAGTGGTTGTAACATGCCAGTCATCCCCCCTGGTATCACAACCATATCACTTTTCTCCTGCCTCATCTTCACTTTCACATTTTCAGTTAAATGGCTTCGAAAACTGTCAACCACTAACATTGACCGCTGACGTAAAAGTGTGCCTGGGCGCCGAAACCACACTGATTTCAACCAATCCAGATAGAGCTCTTCTGTCATCCATCCTTTTTCTTGAACTCTCACCAAAATTCCCGGTGGAAGCTTTTCTTTCGGCAATGTTTTGCGTTTGAAGATTACAAATGGTGGTAGTTTGTTTCCATCAGCAGTGATACCAAGCATTACGGTACACCGCTGCTTTTCTGCTCCTGCAGTCCGCACATGCACTGTTTTTTCGCCTGCTTTGTTCACTGTACTTTCACCCGGCATTTCAAAGAACACAGGAGTTTCATCAACATTTCCAATAGCTCCCATGGTGTAGTTGTGCGTCTTTCTTAATTTCAGGACATGTTTTTGAAATGCAAGCAGTTTCTCCTGGTATGTGTCGGGAAGGCGCTGCGCTATTGACGTCCGTCGCCGAATTACAAGATCATGTCGGGCCATAAAGCGCCTTGCCCATCCATAACTTCCCTTAAATTCATTACGAGGAATTTTCATTCTGTCCGCTATTTTGAGGCCTTCAAATTGAATCATTTCCACAGACACTGAAAATCCATCCGCCCGTGTATTACGCACGTATCGCAAAAGTTTATTTTCAAGTTCTGGAAATTTAGCTTTCTTTCCGCGGAAAGATTGTCGATTTTGTGACGTTTTTTCAAGGGCATCTTTCGTTAGTATCCATCTTCGCACATTTTTTCGTCAACGTCGAATTTTCTCCCTGCTGCTCGATTTCTGTGTTCTTGTGCGTAATGCACCACTTGAAGTTTAAATTTAGACGTATAACCTGCTCCTACTCGACCCATGTTTCACTCAGAACTAACCAGGCAAGTCAAGTAAAGGCGAAAAGGTTATAACTCTCCCCCGCAATGCCTTTGTTCCGAGTGGTACCGTTATTTTCACTAGTTGCGAACTTAGGAATGTTAAACATTGCCAAATTTTGGAATAATTTCTACTCCTGAAATAATATTCCAAGAAAATTATTTTTTCTATAATTTCTGTCTGAAAATTGTGCTGCGGCCTATACACGCACGCGGCCTATACATGCGTAAATACGGTAGTAAATTACTGTCACAAACTCATAATAGATATGTGACGCTGAAAGGCCATCTGTCAGTGATACGTGAAAGTAAAATGCCAGAGATAACTGAAAACCTTTAAAAGTGAGACACATTATTGCCAAGTATGAAGCTGTTACGAGTCTTGCCTTAGAGTCCTGCATAGTGGCTTAAAAATCAGATATGCATGTGAAAATTTTATAACATTAATACTAATATTAACAATAGTATTTACATGTTATCTTCTTGCTTGAGAACTGCAGTTTGTATAAATACATAGCAGCTCTGGGATCTCTAGATATATCAAGATATTTTCTGTTGAACTATTGTCATGTTTCATTAGCTAGGCCGTGATTGACTAAAACCTTGAACATATTTTATTACATTCTGTAACAGTGCAATGCCTTCAGAAGTCTGTTTTGTTACTTACTAGGAAATCATTGTTGTGGAGAAACCAGTACCAATGTTTCCAGAACCAGGACCACTACAAGCTCATAGAAGCCATTCCGATCCAGATGGACAGCAATCATCTGAGTTCACCTCACGCTTTTTAACAGACTTCCATCCTGTTCATTGCCTTGGGAAGGGTGGCTTTGGTGTTGTCTTTGAAGCTAAAAACAAGATTGATGATTGCCATTATGCCATTAAACGTATTCCTCTTCCCAATCGGTAAGATGTGCAAGAAAGTTGCAGTCTCGGAAAATATGTAATATTTGCTTGTTTTGTATCCCCATAAGTTCAGGGGGTAAAAAATTTATGACAGGTGATCTTGAAGGTTAATATACATTTCATGTGTCAAGTGACTGAATAGGCATCCAGATCCCTTACTGAACTTCTGCTGATGTTCATGTAGATTTTTGGCACTGTATTCCTGCATGTGAGATGATGATGGCACAGAACTTTTTTTTTTTTACTTTAACGCAGAATGAACAGAAGAATGGGGGAAATTACAAAGGAAATATTTTTGTGGGTTATTTTTTGATACTGTCAGTAGCTAAACTATATGCTGTTGAATGTTAGGATGGTAGATGACTGGTGAATTGGGAAGGATTTTGAAGAGAATAGTCATTACTTAATCGAGGTACTATCATGGCTACAATTTGTTGATTTTCTCTTTAGTTCCTGGTGTTGTTATAATTACTTAAGGTTATGATATATAATAGAATATAGCATACATAGCAGAAGATTTGAATTGTCTGATATGGAAAGAGGTTGCTTGGGGGTACACATTACATATTAATTTAGTTTCAGAAATTTGGCTTCTATAACCCTTACTGTACTGAGTTTTATTCAGCAAAAAATTTATACTTTGTTTGTTTATGGCATCCATAGTAACTTAAGACATCTCCAGTGATGAATCACCACAAATAATTTAAATTACTGAAGAAGGACAGGAGATGTATTTCTTTAATGTATTTTTTTAAACACAAAATTAACCATATTGGAAGGGCTGGTGTTGATTGGTTAAAAAAGTATTTGTAGTGTTTAAAATATTGACCATTAGTCAAAAACTAAAAATGTGTGTGTGCTCTCTGCTGTCAGGCAAGAATCTCGTGACCGTGTGATGCGTGAAGTGAAAGCCCTAGCCAAGTTGGAACACCGTCACATTGTCCGCTATTTCAATGCTTGGTTGGAATGCCCTCCACCTGGGTGGCAAGAAGAACAGGATAAATTGGTTCCTAATTGGTAAGTACAAATGAATAGTTTGGGATAGTTGATAGGAAAATACCTATATTATTATTGCAGGAAAATCATGTGTCATAGGAAATCCTACTGAAAAACGTTTCAGTTATGAAGGAAGGCCTTAAGTTCTGGAACTCTAACCACAGAATTAATGACTTGGGGTTACTGAAATTGAACCTTATACGAGGAGAGATCTTAAATGGAGGAACATTGTTCCATGGTAGATATGTAGAGGTTCATTCATTGGAAACTATGAAGAATACCATCTTTCACAGCGTGACACTCTGTAGCCTGGTTGTCTGATTGTCTGATTGTATTTTAATATTTTGGAGGAAAATACTGCCTTGGTCTTCAGGGTCAGAGAGTAAGTTCAAATATACAAGCAAGCAGCTCTGCACCTGTCTTACCCTGCTCATTGCTTGTTTGCTGGGCTTACTGTTCCACCCTGTGGATGGAATCAGTACGTTTCTCCAGAACATCAGACTCTGTCAGACTCTACAATAGCCCATCCTTGAATTACTTTTTCTTACCTACTGGCATGGTGGTTTGCATATGAAATTACCATCAGCTGGATGTCTGTGATTATCATTTGCTCAGAATTTGCAGGTGTAATATATGCTTCAAGGGATTAAACTGACTTGGAGTCAATTGGGTGTTGCTGATGATGTTAAAATAATTGAGATCTAAAACCAAACAAGTAAATTCGAAAGAGTTCTGATGATAATGTGTAACACTCAGAATTTCTGGGCTTTTGGACTTTGTACATTGCCCAGTGCTCTAAAAACACTAGAGGAACGTTGTGTTCTTTAGTGTTTTAAGAATACCAGATACTGGACAGATTTTCTAAGAACCCAGTAATTCCAAGTAAAACAGTTTGTTGTTTGTTAATGCTCTGGGATACAGAAATATGCCATAGGAACTTAACAGCTTGCCATTATTCTTCTTCTACAGTGATGGCTTCTGCTCACTTGGGGATGCTACATCCATTGACCTCAGCCAGATTAGAAGAAGTGCTGTACATACACACTTATCTCAAGATGTTTCTGCAAAAGAAGAATGTTCCTCTGTGTTTTTGAACATGAAAAGTGATGATTCAGAGAGTTATTCCTTTAGCCAGCAGATACATAGATACAACCCAGACAGAAGTGATTCTTTCATTGTGTTTGAAACATCTTGTGGTCCAAAATCAAAAGTTACGGTTGATGATGACAGTGGCAAAGACTGCAGCCATGAAGATGGATTGGATGTAGTTAAAAGTAACACAGAAGTGGGTGAAGGTGTCTTGTCTTGTACCAATTCTGAAACCTCTAGTAACTGTGTGTCAGCATGGAGAGAAGAAATGGGGAGGAGAAGGACTTTATCCACCACAGAATGTCATGAAGCCAAAAAGAAAATTGGTCACAAGCGACCATTGTCTCTTGACATCTCTAGGGGGGGTGGAATTGTGATGGCTTCTCTTAAGGGATCTCGCTTGTACCTGTTCATTCAGATGCAGTTGTGCCGCAGAGAGAGTTTGAGGGAGTGGTTGCGAGATAATGTGTCCAACAGAAGTACTTGTGTTGTTCTGCCAATGTTTATGCAGATTGTTCAAGCTGTAGAATATGTCCACCTACAAGGCTTGATCCATAGGGATCTTAAGGTGAGAACTGTTTATTATTGGTTTATTCAGTTAAATTTGTAATCAGCTAGGGCTATGAGTAATGAAGTACCTTCTCAATATTTCTCTGGGAAAAATGGATACAATTAAACTGAGGAGAACCTTAAATGGAGGAAATGTAATGCTAAGTATGGTGGCTGGAACCATCAGAAATGTTATACTAAATGAGGGAAAGACTTAAATCAAGAAACTTTAAATAGGATTATGAAGTGTCAGGATGATTATGGAGTCCAATTGGGTCCACTTGGCACGGCAGCCACTGATTGGCCTATTGTACCTGCCCTGGGTGATTATGGTGATGGAGAATTTGGTGGATTGAAGATTGGCAGGGGAAACCGAAGTACTTGGAGAAAACCCGCCTCAGTGCCACTTTGTCCACCACAAATCCCACTTGACCAGACCCGAAATTGAAACTGGGCCACCGCGGTGGGAAGCCAGTGACTAACCACTTGAGCTATGACGCGGCCGACATGTTAGCTTAGATTAGGTTATTTTATGTACAGTTAGGGTAGATTAAGTTAGGTTAAGTTATATTAGGCTGGGTTACATATGTAAATCTGTTATTTGACACTTCTCTGTTCTAAATTTAAAAAAATAAACAGCAGCATAGAAAGGGTTAATAAGGTCAGTGTAATGAAGGGAATTTGAGTAGGGCTAAACAGATACATTTTGTACACAAAGATTACATTCCTGGGAAATTCCATGTTGGGCAAATGCATTAAAAATCTGGATAACTTGCCAGAGAAAATGGTTATAAAAACTTTACATAGCATGCAGAATGTTGAGATGATGCCACATATCAGTGCATGGAAAGTGTTGAAAATTAGAATGTTGCAGTTGCTTCACAGTCCATCACAGTTCCCACATACGGCATACACTTTACAGAGCTGTATTTGTTGTATCTTCCTATAATTTCTGGACTTTTATGAAGTAATAGACATTCAACTGCTGAGCTGATTTTGCTCTTGTTTTATATATATGAGGGGGTACCCAAAAGAAACCGAACTTTTTTTTTAAACTTATTTATTCAAATTTTAAGCACAAACCTTCAATCCCCTTCAAAGTACTCTCCACTTACACTAATACACTTGTCTAGTCTTTTATTCCAGTTTTCAAAACATTGTCTAAATTCATCTTTTGAGATGCTTGACAGTGCCTCTGTCGTTTTTCCCTTTCATGTCTCTTTTCATTCGAGGAAACAAAAAAAAGTCGCATGGGGCAAGGTCGGGTGAGTATGGAGGGTGAGGAACAAGGGTCATACCACTTTTGGTCAAGAATTGTCGTACAGACAGGGCTGTGTGAGCAGGGGCATTGTCATGATGGAAAAACCAGTCACCCGACTGCCACAAATCTGGCCGCTGAGCTCCAAGTCACTCCCGACAGCTCCACAATTTCTTCAATGGTCCGTCATCGATCTTCCTTGATGATTTCACGAATTTTTTCAACATTTTCATGTGTTCGGGCCGTGGAAGGACAACCAGAATGAGGTTTGTCATCAATTGACATTTCACCATTTTTGAAACAGGAAAACCACTCAAATACTTGAGCTTTCCCCATAGCATCGTCCTTGTACGCCGTTTTTGACATTTCAAGAGTTTCTGTTCCACTTTTCCCAAGCAAAAAGCAGAATTTCACCGCCGCACGCTGTTCACGAAAATCAGCCATTGCAAAAACAACGATCACACAAAACAGTTGTCACTATAAACTCTGCCGAAACTAGTCCTTACCTTCTGAAGCAACGGTAGTCGGCTTATCGACTCAGGAATGTTAGCTCTATGCGCTCATAGCGGCAAAACGCAGTACTACAAAAGCTCTGCCCACAAAAAAATTAGTTCGGTTTCTTTTGGGTACCCCTTACAACAAGGGACCTCTCTGTAGTAAAGAAAATTCTGGATCCTGTGAACAAATAATACTGTCCCATATAAGGGGTAGTGTGACAAATAATTGTGAATTCTAGATTTGATCCAAGGACCCTGAGAGCTATACCAGCAGTAGTGTAGCTACTGGCAGGGACTCCCTCCTGGACAGGTCAAAGGGTAGGCATCAGATGAAGAGAGACACCAAAAGCTGATGCCGGAAGCAGCGACTTGAAGCACAGAGCAAATGATGCTCGAGAGGGTTCAAGTTCATAAGGCAACAGGCGTGACCAGAGTGGTTTGAATGGCTGTTGTACTGCAATGTGGAAAGCAAATGGAAAAACTACCACATTATCACTTTTCCTGGATAGTCTCTTTCCAAAAACAGAGATACCATGTATGCGAGATGTTTCCTCTGGAGACAAAACAATCCGGGGGTGAACTACTCCCCCAATCGGATCTCCGGGGGGGGAGTGTTTCTAGAGGAAATGTCATGCAGGCGTTATGACAAGAAGAAGTGTGAATATCAGAAGGAACATCACGGCTACAAGATTGGAACATGGAATGTAAGGACCGTGAATCAAGCAGGCAAATTGGAGAATTTGAAAATGGAAATGCAGAAGAATGAGATGTCTCTTTTAGGTGTCAGCGAAGTGCGGTGGAAAGGACAAGGTGAAATGAGAAGTGGTGATTATACAGTGTATTATTCTGGAGATGAACGGGCTGAAAGAGGTGTGGCAATAGTGGTGCATAAAAGTGTAGTGAGGAGTGTTGTTAAGAAGATTGTTTGTAATGACAGAATGATTGCTCTGAAGTTAAAGGCAGAACTGGTAGATATACTGATTATGCAAGTGTACATGCCAACATCAGAGTATGAAGATGATGAAGTGGAAAAAGTGTATGACACAACTGAAGAAATTCTTCAGGAAGATGGAAGAGGTGACACAAACAGCATCATATTAGGAGACTGGAATAGCATTGTTGGAGATGAATCATATCAGAATATTGTTGGATCACATGGACTAGGAAGACGGAATCACAGGAGTCAAATGCTTATTGACTTTTGTGAAAGAAATGGACTGATTGTTACCAACACTTGGTTCAAGAAGCCAAAGAGAAGACTTTACACATGGAAGGCACCTGGGGATTGGAGGCGGCATCAGCTGGACTACATCCTTGTGAAACATCAATTCAGAAACAGTGTGAAGGATGTAAGATTTGAGGCTTTCACAGTGGTGACTATGAGGAAAGCAGTCTTCTGGGATTTGGCACCGTGTATATGTGGTGTTAACCGACGTTTCTGCTTTTACCGTTTCTCACGGTCTCTTCGCTTTGCAGATTTCTTATATTTTTTCTTCTACCCTGAAGATGGAGGCGATACGTTCCTCCGAAATGTCGGTTAACACCACATATACATGGTGCCAAATCCCAGAAGACTGCTTTCTTCAGTGTGAAGGATGTGAAGACGCTGCCTGGGGCAGATATTGACTCTGACCACAACTTACTGGTTGCCAAGTTTCGAATCAGGTTGAAGAAAATTACAAGATTTCAAAAGCGCAGACCTAGATGGGATTTGGAGAAGTTATATGCTCAAAGACAGCGTGCAGGAGACCCTAGAAGAGAAACTCGGTACAATTGAAGGTGAAAGCGGAAATGCTGAAGTGCAGTGGAACAATATAAAAGAATGCATGTTAGATACTATCAGTGATTTGGTTGGTAAAGTTGAGAAGATAGCAAGAAAACCATGGGTTACACAGGAGATGATGAGTAAAATGGAGGAGCGAAGGAAATGGAAGAATGTAAACAATGAAGAAGGCAGGAGGAAATACAGGAGACTGAGGAATGAATTGAAAAGAGCCACGGACAGGGCCAAAAAGGAATATCTTGAGAAGATATGTAATGAGATTATAGAATTTCAAGGGACAGGACATCATGATTTGATGTACATGAAGACAAAAGAACTAGGATAGAAAGAGAACCATGGGAATCAAAATATTGGCATCGAAGACTCCCAGGGGAATAGAATA